GACCACACCGTGTCCCCATGACCGTGTCGTCTGTCCTCTGGCCACCCCACATCCCCCATGGCAGCACCACATCCCCCACAGCCACACCACGGTCCCTGCAACCCCATGATCTTCCCTCTGGCAGTGCCATGATCCCCAAGCCCACTCCAGGTGCCCCATGAACACCTCACACCCCATGAACAACCCCCAGACCACCCCATGACTACATCAGGTCCCCCAAAACCACCTCATGATCCCCATGGCCATGTCACTTGCCTCCTGGCCATGCCATGGTCTCCAAAACCACACCCCATCCCCCAAAACCACACCACATTCCCCATGACCACCCCATGATTCCCCATGACCACACCCCATCCTTCAAGACCACATCACATCCCCCCGACCACCCCATTAACCCCATGACCACCCCATGGTCCCCATGACTGCACCACATCCCCCAAAACCACACCACATTCCCCATGACCACCCCATGATCCCCATGACCACCCCATGGTCCCCCTGACCACCCCATTGTCCCCATGACCACATCACATCTCCCGCAGCCCCCCCAAGACCCCGCTGCTCCGTCTGGCCAGACAATGTCCTCCCACCCCCCTGCCCCACGTACCCACACCAGCAGCTGGGTGACGACCACCTGGGCGGTGTCACAGGCCAGGTGCAGCGCCGTGCGCCGGTCCGTGTCCGCCATGGCCACGTTGAGCTGGTCCTTGTGGCTGTGGGCCAGCAGCAGCAGCACCGCGGGCAGGTCCTGCTCACGCACCGCCCCCAGCAGCCGCTCGGCCAGCGGCGCTTCGGCCGCGGGCAGCGGTGCCAGGAACAGCCTCTGCTCGTACTTGGCACGAATCCACGATTCCCTCTCCTCCCTGGGCATGGGGGCATGGGGACACAGGGGATATGGGGTGTCAGGGACAGCAGGGTGGCACCACGGGGACACAGATCCACAATTCCTGCTCCTCAGTGGGCATGGGGTACTGCCACGATGGGAGGACACACAGAGGGGGCAGGGACAAGGGGCAGCAGCTGGTGGTGTGGCAGTGGGGACACAGAGGTGTCAGGAGCGCATAGGGACATCACAGGGACAGGGAGAGTGAAAACAGGGGGGACACATGAGGGTCAGGGACACAGGGTGGCAGCAGGGTGGCATGGGAGATGGGGACACAAGGGGTGGCAGTGTGGCATTGCTGGATCGTGGGGTCACAAGGGACAGGGAGGTGAGGACACGGGGACATTGGGATGTGGAGTGGCACCGTGATGACGTGGGGATAAGGGGCATCAGAGTCTGTGGGATGGCACAGCAGAGACGTGCTGGGTGGGGACACGGCATCAGGGATTGCATGGTGACATCACGGTGGCATCAGGGATATGGGGTGACACCGGGGGGACACAGCGGGGACACGCACCGGGAGGACTCGTGGGTGGGCTTGCAGCGGCCGCGCGGGTTCTGCTCCCAGATGCTGTTGGCCGTGGCGTTGCCGATGGCCGTGAGCACCAGGGTCAGCTCCCGGGGCCAATCGTCCAGGTCCAGCGAGCGCACGCGCGACACGTGCGTGCCCAGGTTGCGGTGGATGCCCGAGCACTCGATGCAGATCAGGGCGCCCAGGTTCAGGCTGGCCCACGTGGGGTCTGTGCGATGAACAGGGAGGGTCATTGGGGTGCTGGGTGGGCTCGGGGCAGCCCAGTGTGACCCATGGTGTGGCACGTGGTTGCTGAGATCTATGGCACAGTGTGGCTCATGGCACCACGTGGCATCGTGTCACCCGTGGCATCACGGGTCCCATGGCATTGTGTGACTCGTGGCATTGGGTGGCTCTGGCACAGAGTGACCCATGGCACCATGTGGCCTGTGCCATCCACTGTGTGGCCCATGGCATCACGTGGCACATGACAGCACAGGGCCCAGGACACCATGTGACCCATGGCATTGTGTCACACATGGCATCGTGTCCACAGCTCTCCCTCGCCCGTGGCCAGTGGCACACTCTCACCCCATGCACCATCACCTGGATTCAGGGCTCTGCAGAGCCCATGAACCAATGTCCCCCCGTGTCCCCCCGTGTCCCCCCGTGTCCCCCCGTGTCCCCCCCCGTGTCCCCGGTGTCCCGGGCACTCACTGGGTGCCCCGCAGTCCACGCAGAGTGAGTTCCCGCGGGCGTTGCGGATGGCCTGGATGGCCACGGCCTCACTCTGGCTGTCCATGCGCGCCTGGAGGGACACGGGAGGAGGGTGAGCGGGGCAGGGGGTGACACGGGGACCCTGCCAGACCCCCGCCAAGGTCCCACCTTGTTCTTGCTGCTCTCGCAGCACTGCAGGCTGGCCAGGATCTGGCTCTCGATGGCCTGGACCCACGCGTCGCGCTCCTCGAAGCTGCCAGCCTCGAAGTGCCACGTCTGCCCCGTGCTTGACACGATCAGAAACTCAAAGTTCTCCTCCTCTGTGGGACCAGAGACCCCCAGGGGGGCGGTGGGATGGGAGGTCCTACACTCACGGGGGGCTGGACTGGCCCAGCGCCCACTCCAGCCCCCCCACATCCACCCCTGGCACCCAAATTCTGCCCAGCCCCCCTCCCCAGTGGTCCCCACCCCTCCTGGAGTGTGTGCTAGCAGCAGGCAAGGGGGGCACAGCCACATGCACGGGAGGCACCGCTCACGCCACGTTACCTGTTTTATAAATATTTCTTAAACTACCAAAACTTTTTAATTTCCACATTTTGCGCTTGGCTGCGGAGGGTCCGGGCAGCAGGAGTAGAGAGAGGAAACGGGGACAGAGTCAGGGGGGCCCGCGGAGCCCTGGGGACGGTGCAGAAGGTGGCAGGCAGTGGCAGAGCGAGGGGGATGCGTGGACAGCGTGGCTGAGCATGGACGGGGGGTGAGGGGCAGCATCACCCCAGATCCCCCCGAATTCTGGGGCATCGTTGTCGTGGAGGATGGTGGCCTTGTCCCCACAGTGCCATGGGTGACCGGGGCTGGGGACACATTGTTGTGGCACCCACCTTCTGCCTGCCCACCCGAGCCCTCGGTCTTGGACGGCGTCATCAGCTTCTTCCGCCGGTGCTTCTTCCTGTCCACCAGCGGTGACGGTGGAGGGTCCCTGCCCGCACTGCCAGGGCTGGACACGGCCTCGAAGGACAGGGGGGACTCTGCCAAGAGACCACACATGGGGCACTGAGGGCATCACTGACACCAGGGTCGTGAGGACCAGGGAGCTCATTGAGGCACCAGGTCACCAAGTCCATCAGAACCACTCGGGTCAGAAAGGGCTACCAGGGCCACCAAGTCCACTGGGCTCGGCAGCATCACTTGGGCCACCAGGGCCACCGGACTCACTGGAGTCACCAGGGTCACAAGTCCACCAGAGGCGCTGGGGCACACTGGGGTCATCAGAGCTCGCCAGGGTCACTGATCTCACTGGGATCACCAGGACTCACCCCCAAGGCCACCAAATTCATTGGTCTTACAGAAATCCCTGGGGCCACCAGGGCCACAAGAGCCTCTTGGCCCACCAGAGTCATGAGGGTCACCACGTCCCTGGGCTCACCAGGGCCACCAGGTTTACTGTGGCCTCCAGAGCCACCAGAACCACCAGGGCCACCAAGAGCCACCTGAGCTGCTCAGAAGTCACCGTGCTCAGTGGGGCCACCATGGGGCAGTCCCTGTCGGTGCCCCGGGACGTGGCCACGTCCCTGCTCGTGCTGGTGTCACTCACCTGAGGCGAGCTTGGCGCCGGAGGCGGAGGCGCAGCGCTGCAGGGACCCCTTGCCCACCACCTTCAGCCCCGGCTCGGGGGGGAGGCTCAGCCCCACAGAGGGGACACCGGCTGCAAGGGGGAGGGGCAGTGTCACAGCGGTCCCTGTGGTGTCCCCCCCGCCCCCGGTGTCCCCTGGCACTCACTGCCCGGCTCAGGGTCCCGCAGCAGCCCGTTGATGCTGGCCGACGGGCCGCAGGCAGAGATGGCGCGGGGCGGGCGCTTCCCGGGCACCTTGACCGTGGTGCGGAGCAGATCCATCTCCTTCCCGTGGGTGCTGTGGATGTAGTCCTGGGGGGACAGCGGGGGTGACACCGGGCCCTCCCACTCTTTGGGGACCACAAGGGGACGGGGACACTCACGTTGATGCTGGGGTGGTAGAAGAGGAGGCCGTTGCTGGACAGGGTCACGTATTTCTTCTTCCACTCCTTGTTCAGGGAGTTGCCGCTGCGCTTCAGCAGGAAGCTCTGGGGACAGGGAACAGTGAGGGGACAGAGGCAACACCGGGACCCACCCCTGTCCTCCTGCCACCGCCACCACCCACCTGCTTGATGGGGATGGCACGGCCACTGCCGGCCACCTCGCCTCGGCTGTCCAGGCTGCGCTTCTCGGAGTCGCTGCCACGGCGCGTCTGCAGGAATGGGGACAGGGACAGGACAGGGACTCGTGGCACGGCTGGAGACACCGAGTGCCCACATGTCCTCCATTGCTGGAGCCTTGTGGTGGCGATATTGGGGTGTCGCAGACCCCACCACTGTGGCTCCATGGTGTCCCTCAGTGCCACCGCCACCATGTCAAGGGGGCACTATAGATGCCATGTGTCCCCACCACTCTGCTAGAGGACACATCAGAAGCCCCATGGTGGGGACATCCTGGGTGCCCTGCACGTCCCCCATCCCCACACTGGATACCCATTTGTTCCTCAGTGCCACCACCAACATGCCAAGGGGACAACTGAGATGCCACGTGCCCCTCAGTGTCACCACGCTGCCAGGGGACACCTCAGGTGCCACATGCCCCTAGCTGCCACCACCCTATCACGATGACATTCTGGGTGACAATGTCAAGGGATGTCACATCCCCCTGTGTCACCACCACCACCATACCAGGAGAAAGCCGGGGTGTCCCCCAGTGCGTCCCCCAGTGCCACCCCCCGGGCACTCACGGCGAAGAGGCTGGTGCGGCGCTTGGCCCCGCGGTGCAGCGAGCTGGGCGTGCCCAGCGGGGCCGGGGTCTCGCTGCGCAGCTCCCGGTGGCTCACGTTGGGGGTGGACGGCAGTGAGGACGAGTAGTCGCTGGTGTGGCCACCATTGCTGGTCTGAGGGGACACGGGGTCAGCCTGGGCTGTGGCTGTGGCCGGGGCGCCCGGGACAGGCGGCCGGGGGTTACCTGGCCAGGGTGGACACCCCCCACGGGGGTGGAGGCAGCGGAGTGGCTCGGGGAGCTGGGCAGGGACTTGCAGGACGCCATCAGCTGCTGCTGCTTCTTCAGCGCCACGGCCTTCTGGGCCACTGTGGGGACCCTGAGTCAGGAGGGCCGGAGCACAACCTGCCCAGCCATCGTCCTGGACACCCACACCTGGACATGGTCCCCATCCCCATCCACACCTGGACATGGTCCCCATCCACACCTGGACATGGTCCCCATCCACACCTGGACACTGCTCCTATCCCACTTGGACATGGTCCCCATCCCACCTGGACATGGTCTCCATCACACTCAGCCACTCTGGCCACTGTTCCCATCCCACATAGGGTGGACACGGTCCCTGACCTACCCAGCCATGGGTCTGGCACACCTGGACATGGTCCCCTGCACTACCCTGTCCACTGTCCCCATCCCACCTGGACATAGTCCCTGTCTCACGTAGACATGACCCTGTGCCATCTGGCCACCATTCTCCTCGACCCAGATGTGATCCCAGGCTGGCCACCATCCCTGTCTGACCCTCCCACTACACCCATTCCACCTTGGCTACCATCCCTATCCCACACTGCTCACTGTCCCCATCTCACCATGTCACCAGCTCCCTCCCACCCTCTCCCCACCCCTGGGGGCACGGTCACCCACCCTCGGTGAAGACCCGGTCCACGTTGAGGCCGTAGGTGGCGCAGGTCTCGTAGTAGAGGCAGCGCCGCATGTCCCCGCAGAGCGCCCGGGCGCGCGCGTCCTCCACCGCTCGCGGGCTGGACGAGCTGATCTTGTCTGGGGAGTCAGGGGGTGAGCTGGGGGTGCCCCATCCCGCTCCCAGCCCCGCAGGATCCCCCCGTGTCCCTGGCTCACCCTGGGTGCCCACCAGCGCCAGGGCCACGTCGCTGGTGCCGCGGAGGTCGCTGAGCAGCGCGTGCAGCTGCTCCACCTCCTCGAAGCTGCTCTCGCTCTCCAGGCTAAAGACGAAGATGACGGCGTCCGCCCAGCTGGCAAACTGGGGGGCCACGGGCGGGGTCAGGGCTCGGCTCTGGCCAACGTGGCCCCCCCGGGCCCCGGTCCCCTCGTACCTGCGCGTCCGGGGCGCCGGCCTCCTCCCGGATGAGCAGGAGGTGGCTCTGGCCATCGACCGTCACCTCCCGCTTGAACTGACCACCTGCAGTGGGGGAGGGGAAGGGAGGGGGACCCTGCAGGTGTGCTCTGCCCACATGGATGGGATGTCCCATGGCCATGACCAGCACTGTGTGTGACCGGCACTTGGACCCCAAGTGTCCCCAGCCATGACCAGCACCATGACCTTGCCCATTCTGTGGCCATGTCCATCCCCTTCACCATCTCCACCATGGCCATGCCCAGCATCATGACCGTGTCCATCCCATGGTCATGCCCAGCCCCACAACATCACAACGTGTCCATCCCATGCCCATGCCCATGCCCATGTCCATCCCATGCCCATGCCCATGCCCATCCCCTGTCCGTGTCCATCCCATGCCCGTGTCCATCCCATGCCCATCCCCTGTCCGTGTCCATCCCATGCCCGTGTCCATCCCATGCCCATCCCCTGTCCGTGTCCATCCCATGCCCATGTCCCCCCCCCATGGCCACTCACTCTCCGTGGGCTCCAGGCCCACATAGGAGCCGGTGAGGAACCGGTGCACGAGCGCTGACTTCCCGCTCTTGCTGCTGCCCAGGACGCCCTGGGTGAGCAGAGGGGATGTCAGGATGGCTGAGGACATGGGGACACGGGGATAAGGGGACACGGGGACAAGGGGACACAGGGACACGGGGACACGGGAATACAGGGAATACAGGGACATGGGGACACGGGGACACAGGGACACGGGGACACAGGGACAAGGGGACACGGGAATACAGGGAATACAGGGACAAGGGGACACGGAAATACAGGGACAGAGGGACATGGGGACACGGGGACATGGGGACACGGGGACAGGAGAACATGAGGACACAAGGAAATGAGGACACAGGGACAAGGGGACACGGGAATACAGGGACAGAGGGACATGGGGACACGGGGACACGGGGACACGGGGACACGGGGACACGGGGACACGGGGACACGGGGACACAGCACCCACCAGGCGGATCTCAGGGATAGAGCGGCCCAGGGTCCACTCCTGGCTGTTCACTAAGGCCTCTGCGGAGGGAGATGGGTGAGACAGAGCCCGGGACCCCCAGCAGCCCCTGGCACCCCCAAGCAGCCCCTGGCACCCCAATCCCGGGGGGCCCCCACCCCGCAGCGCAGCAGCAGCTTCCTGCGTGGGCGGGCACCAGCTGTCACCCAGCAACGGCAGCGGGCCCGCGGGGGCGGCGGGAGGACGTGGAGATGCCACGTGGCAGGGACGGGGACGTGGCAGCACGAGGCGTCGTGTGCCAAGGCACGAGGACACAGAGGGCATGGGGACATGGTGGCCGTGGGGATGGAGCGCCGTGGGAGAACATCGTGGCACGGGGACACGATGGGAACCGTGACGGGTACCAGGACGCCCTGAGGCACAAGGATGTGGCATGGCGTGAGGACACCGTGGATTCCAGGACATGACAGCCACGAGGGCACAGATGGCACCAGGGTGCGGTGTGGCATGGGGGCACAGTGGGAGCCAGGCCACAGTGGGAGCCATCAGGCCATGACGGGCACTGGGACACAGCATGGCACGAAGACACGATGGGCACCAGGACACAGCATGGCAACAGGATGTGGGGTGGCACGAGGTCACCACGGAATCCAGCACACGATGGACGCGAGGACGCGATGCCAGCAGTGCGTGACAACCTCAGGCCTGAGGATGCAGCATGGCATGAGCACCAGGCGTGGCACAGGGACACGATGGACACCGGGACACGGGGTGGCAGCATGGCACAAGGACGTGGTGTGGCACAAGGACAGGACGTGGCACGAGGACACAGTGTGGCACAAGGACGTGGTGTGGCACAAGGACAGGACATGAGGACACGGCATGGCACACGACGGGCACAAGGCTGCGATGGCACCAGAACGCAGCGAGCAGCGGCGTGTGGCACACAAGGACACGGCGTGGCACAAGCACCTGGCGTGGCACAAGGACGTGCCCTGTGCCCCCCACATCTCCTACCTGGCATCCCCAGCCCCTCTGGGCAGTGGTGGCACCACAAAGGGGGAACCTGAGGCAGGACACAGTCAGAGGGTCCCCCCCTTTCTGTGCCTCAGTTTCTGCCACCAACACAGAGCCGGTCCGTGCCACGCGTGCCAGCCGGGGAGAGGGTTAACCGTGCCGCCTGTCACCCCTCGCTGTCACCGAGCTGCCACCCCCGGGCCCTGCAGGCGCTGCCCACGCACCCCATGGTGCCAAGGTGCGTGCAGGCAGACAGAGGAACGCCGGGGGGACCGCAGGACATGGGGGACCGGCGGGTGGCCAGACAGATGGGGGACAGGATGCAGGGGTGTGACGCACAGATGGAGGCGAGGACGGACGGACGGATGTTGGGACAGAACGACGGAGGTGGAGGTCGCGCCTGACTCCCGTGGAGTTCCCCCGATGGGGAAACCGAGGCAGAGGATCCCCAACACGGCCAGCCCCAAATCGGACACCCCACATGGCCCCAAAGGCACAAAACCACGGCACAGCCCAGCCCGGGGGTCACAGCCCCCCTGTTCCCAAGCACCCCAAAAGCCACGGAGAGCAGAGGGATCCTCCTGCCCCACACGGGACCCGGGGTTCTGTGCACCTCCTCCCCCCGCCAGGGAAACTGAGGCACGACACTGTGACCACAGTGGGCACTGGTCCACCTGCCCCAGGTCACCGAGGGGACACCGAGCCACGGCCGGGGCGACCCCCGGGATCCCCCGGGCCCGTACTCACTGTGGGGGGTGGCCCTGGCCGGGTCGGCGCCGGGGGGAGACCAGGGGGGCGCGGGGTGGGTGGGGGTCGCCGCGGGGCTCTTGGTGAAGATGCCGCTGATGAACTTGAGCATCTTTCGGTCGCGGGTGGAGGCGCGACCCCCCTCGCGTCCCCGCTTCAGCCCCGTCTCGGGGGCGGGGGCGGGGACCAGAGCCCCCGGCCCCGGCTGCAGGTCGCTGTAGTCCAGGGTCTTGCTCTTGCCCTTGCTGGGGGACAGCCGGGCCCGAGGGGGCCCCTCGGTCTTGCCCCCCGCCTTGGGGCGCCCCTTCCCCTCTCCCTCGGGCCACGAGAGGCGGCTGCCGGCAGGTTTGGTGGGGGTCTTGCCCGCTCGGGGATCGGGGGTCCCGCGGGTCCCCCCGCTGCTCCCCGCTTTGGGGGGTTTGGGACCGGCCAGGCGGAGGCGGCGGGGACCGGCGGAGGGGTGCGGGGAGGCTATGGGGGGGTCCTGGGGCGGCGGGGGGGCTCTGCCTCCCTCTGGGGGGCCCTCGGGGCCCCCCCAGGTGGCCTGGCTCAGCAGCGGGCGGCGGGGGGTCGCGGCGGGCTGGGGGATGTCCAGGGCGGCCAGACCCCGCTCCCCCGGCCCCTCCAAGGTGCCCTTGGCCCCACGGGGGTCGGGTTTGGGGGGCAAGGCCGGG